ATTAAGTCCTTTAAGTCATGATTTTCTACAAAAAGTGCCCAAACTCTCATTCAAAGAAATTTTCACTATCTTACATTTTCCACAAGAAATTTACACCTGCATGTTTCAAACTTTTTGGCCTTATCCAATTAAATCCAAAGCATTTCACATTTTGTTAAAAAAAAAAAATCTTCAAAGATAAACTCATGAAAATCCATCTTTTATATATCAAAATAATTTGAGCATATCACTTTAGAGCATCATATTATTCATTTTCTCCAAGCATCACACCATTCATCTTTTTTTCTAACTTCATGACATCTGCTCATTTCACCAAAAAAGACTAAATTGAACTTCATTAAGATATGTAAACCAAATTCACATTGTACTGCAAATTTTTCATCATCCTTGCATGTTTATTAGTTCATACAATAGAAAAATACTTAGATCCAAATTTTGTTTCTTCAAGCATAAAAAAAATTTTCAAATTCAATCCTCTTATTACTTTAGTTCACATTTTTTGATTGCCTTCAAAATTGCTCACAAGAAGAAAGTTTGTTTTACATGCTTGCAATTCTATAGTTAATCTAAATCACAAGCAATGACAAGTTCTCAACACAACTTGCAATGCAATGATCAAGTTCAAACCTAAAGGATTCTTGAAGTAATGATCCACATTAGTTATCTCAAAACCCATCATTGATTCTACCCAAAATCATGGTTGGAGTTGAAAAACGGGCTTAATTTGATAAGAATTTTCTATATGTTTGACATGTTTTAAATGTTACTCTTAATTGAAGATGGTGTCAAAAATTCGTTTCCCATCCTCATTACTTCCTCATCTTTCATGTTTTCATAATTCCATTACACAATTCTTATTCAAATAATTCTTTGCTTCTTGATGGATCAAATCTCTTCTTTCTAAGGATATGTTGATGATATCTAAATTCAAAGTCTAAGATTTGGGCAATGATGCAAAAACAAAATAATAATAATAATAATAATAATAGAGTAAAAAAAGAAAAAAGAAAAAAGAAGTGAGAAAAGCCACAAAGGAGTTCAAAGGTG